TGCACCCAGTGTTGACAAAAGGCTGGCAAACAGATTGCCATCAGCTCAGTGGTGAAGGGTCATATATGCTTGATGTCAGTGGGCTGACCACCATCCTTGACATGAATCTTTGGATGGGGAGATTTGCCTTGTCAAAGAACCTTTCCTTCTTCACTGGCTTGAAAGGAGCCTGGATTATTAGCCCAAAGGAGATATCTGACATGACAGGCTACAGCATACAAAGACCTAAGATGTGACAAACGTGGGTGAGTGAATCCCATCTATATAGTATTGCAGTTTGAAGCCTTTGTGAGTCTTAACAGGTAAACTCACTATTAAGCTTATCCCTGCCAATAGGCTTTCCACCATTATGTCTTTTTACCTTATTAAAAGACTTCATCCTGCAAGTGAGACAAGCACTCTGAGTATGTCCTTGAGCTCAGAAAGCTAATGCATTAATTTGTAAGGGAAAAAAAGGAATATTGTCTGCAGCATTTCTGACAAAAAACCCCCATTTTGCTATCCTACTGGCTAATGGAATGTTTTAAATTGAATGATGAAGGTAGATATAGTAGCAAGAGGGCTTGTAGCTATCTATAATTGTTTTCATCATCTTGCTTACTGCTCTTTCTTTAAGCAGCATCTCATTCAAAAGCAGATCACCATGGAGTTCCAAAGTAACAGTTATTTCCCAGCTGATGTAAGCGAGCTTTGGGTAGCAGCAATTGCTCTGAACTGATTACTAGAGATGGGAATAATCTGCAGCTCTCAGAAAAATACCATGATATAAGGGCTTTACACATATTTGTGAGGAGTGCCTCTACCCATGCTTTTGGCATAAGGTGTTCAAAACTGTTGTATAACTCTTGCGTGAGAATTTTTGCTGTGTTACTGATCCACTGGCACCATACACTCAATCTGCCTGAGTTTCATGGAGCCGTAACTCCATGGGGTGAGAGGAGAAAAAAAGTCTTCTGGCATTAGTTTTCCTTTGCAAAGGATGGATAGTTTTTATGGCATATGGCCAGTATTCACTGTATGCACTGTAAGTCTATTTTGCAAATTAAATACAAGAAACACTAACTATGGTTTTGGGTTTCATTTAAAGCCACATAACGGAAGAAATTTGGTGTTTGGGAGCAGGTGTTCATCAGACCCCATTTCATACAGGCCATAACTAGCCCCAAAACACTGCCTTTCCATACATCTCTAGCAGACATGGGCTGGGAGGATGTACAGTGGGAATGATTGGTAGTAGTGAGGTAAAGCATAGCTGTATCTGTGCATTGTTCTTTATTCACCTAGTCAAAATTTGTACCCCCTTTCTTTTTTGTAATGTTTTCTTCAGCTACACAAGCACAAGATAGAAATGCTGGTTTGTTCTAAAGTCCTATAACAAACCCCTAGCTTACTGAAAGGACTAAATTACATGCTGTAATGAAATTTAAAAATATCATGCATGAGATAACAACTGAAAACAGTGCATAGTCTACCAATTTTCTTTCCCCACCCCCGAATGTAGAAACACCTAAAAAAGCAACTGCAGGCAGTATGTACAAAGTCCCCACTAATGCAAATATTCACATGGCACTGAAAAACAGTGAGATTTGCTCCCATCTATGGGAACTGCCTAAAGCCATTAACAAGTAGAGAAACAGAAGCTATTGAATTTTTCAAAAACTACTATCTAAAACATGAATTACTGCTGTAAAACTATCTTAGGAACATTTTGGATCAAGTAGACACAACTTCATGTAATTCCGAGCTTACCGGGGGAATTTCTGACCCTTTTTTGTACTGAAACAGAAAAATGCATTCTCCTTCTCTCTCTTACTTTCCAAAAAAACCTCTGAAATTCCGTGGCTACAGCAGCAGGACTCCCAGGCTCTGCACAGGTGAGGCAATCTGCAGAGAGGAGCCCTAAGGGATCTCTGAGCAAAGATTGAGAGGGAAGGGCTTTGCAACCTAAACAGAATAGTATCCGTGGCTCTTTAAACTGAGTTTCTGCAAAGCTCTTGTAAAATCAGAGGACACGCTCAAAGTTGTGCAAGGTGACTAGTGAGATGCTTATGACTCAACGGAGACAAAGTCAAGTTGCAGCTGCAGCACAAAGGAAGGTTTGCCATTCTCACTGGAAGGTCACTTACGGGACGTAAATATGTCACCTTAATGGACTGCAGATGGAGACCTTTCCAGTCTCCTTTTGTGAATGAAAAGAGTAAATTACTGGGGAGGAACAGTAATTCTGCTTATCACTATTTTCTGGGACTAAAGCTTGAGCAAAGCCTACTTGCAACTCATGTCAGTGGAAGAGGAAGGGACCTGCACGGAGTGAGGGAGGGACAGAGGGAGAGAAGAAGGGGGAGAGAGAGTTCAGAAAAGCAAGCTTTGCGGTGACAAAGTGTGTGCCCCCAGAAGAAAGTTAGCTTTACTAACTCACATTTCCTCACTTGAAGCTCATTCATTTCTTTTAAAAGCACAATCCAATTCCCTCTTGACTTGCTGATAGGAATTTAAAGACGTCCAGCCCTGATCTGCAGTGTAGACTGATTTCCCATG